GGCTTTGCTCCCGGTGCCCCTGGTCTGCTGGGGACCGTCTCCAGCAGACCAGGGACACCGGGAGCAAAGCCAGGGAGGCGAAGGGGCGCTGGGGCGCTGCCGGTTGGCCTCTTAAGCGGGGGTAGTCTTATACGGCGAGTATAACTAGAAAATTAGGGGGTCGTCTTATACGCCCAGTCGCCTTATACTCCGGAAAATACGGTAGTTAACTAATAATGTGTGTGTTTGTGTTTTTTAAGATTTTGGCAGCACTGCTGATATTATTCAACTAATACCTCAGGATTTATTTGCTGAGCTGGTAAGTGATCTATATTTAGTTCTTATGCTTTTGAGTAGTATAAAATGTTTAAAGTTATTTTATATTACTAGCTGTTTGAGTGGAAATTTCCCTGATAGGATAATAGTAACACCCCCTCCACCTTTGCATAAGTGGACCACATTCTCTAGCGATAAGTGAGATTGTTTTTTAAAAAAAATATAAAATTGACTCAAAATACTAATTTTGTTTGAGAGTGACACATAGGAACAGCTAGCGTGTTAAACAGTCCCTTTTATGTTTTCCATGCAATTTCTTACAACCATGAAAAAATGCACCTTTAGTGCTGAATTGTGTCACTTAGTTGAAGTTCTGTGTTGTAAGCAGTACAAAGTAGGTGGACTAGTGACTTAAAAATTTTGAACATCTATTTTTGTTCTTGTGGATTTGATAGTATTTAAAGAGATTTTTAGCAGCTGCCACTGACTTAATACATATACTACTTCTTCACTCAGTATACATGTAAAGTGGTCTAGCAGACTGTATATTGCCAAAATAGGCTTCTTTGCTTGCTCACTGTATGGGTCAAAGCATTGAAACCACGTGACTCGAAGACTTTACTCTGTGCATAGTTATTTTTAAAGCATTATATTTTAATAACTTCTAGTTCTGCTGTTCTTGTAATTTTTTTCTTTGTAGTGTGAACGAATTATTCAGCATCTTAATTGTCAGATTCCAGGTGTCAATACAGTAGAACTATGTCAGGTAAGTTTCCTGATTAGGGGTTATCCAAAAGTAAATCGATTGCATTCATTTTATACAATGTGTACATGGATTATAGAAAGTTTCTAAAAATGACATGTGTTTGTGTTCAACTCTTCTGTTTCTAGAAATTTCAAGCAGCTGGAGTTGAAATGAATGTTGCTGACCTGGCAAAGATAATTAATGTTGTTTCTTTTTTATTCAGGTAAGCAAGAACCTATCCTCCCTATTTCCCTTTTAATTGTAATCTTTCTTTAAAGAATTAAAAGGCAGGGAGCATAAAAGCTGGAAGGGTATAAATTAAGGCTGAGGAAGAGTCAGAACATTTTGACTTTCAGTATATCAAGGTATCTAAAGAGTTTTGCTAACATGTATTACATTTTTTAAAATTAATTGGTAAATCCAAAACAATCTTTTCTTCACTTAAACTATTTATGGATATTACAGATCTATGGGACATGAATGAGATGAAATTACTACCCTGGTGGGACCTTGCATTCAGTTAAATTCTTTGCACAGTTTACTTGGGGGAAATTAAGTAAAATCCTTTGCAAAAAAAATTGTGTAGGTTGCATTACACAATTACTGCAATATTAAAATAATACTCCTGAACAGATAGAAGTACCAGATATCTGTTTGCCTATTTAAACAAATACATTATTTCTTGAACATTTCTTTTGCAAAAACCTACAGATTGTTTTTGTTTTTAAATCTGTCTACAGCACAGCTGCCAAAAACAACCTCTCTGTGGAAGAACTGTCCACTGGCATGGGTAATGCGATCAATATGCTGCCAAAACATGCAGTTCAAGTAATTCGTCACCTATGGAATGAAAAAGGTAGTTCTATCAGTGTGTCGGAAGATGCTAGAAACATGGCAACAATGGGACAGGTAACTACTCAGACTTCTGATTCAATAGCATTAACTCTCCAGAAATGTCAGTGCTTTGTGGTAGATACTGCTGCAAAACTGGCAGATATATAAGGGACTGTTGGATGCCTGGCAACAGCTTAAAAGGAAATGGTAACATTTATGAATCCAAAGTGGTAGAAGAAATGAATGATTTATTTGCCTGTACCATTGACTTATTGAATTCTCCTTTGTCTCTTGTCCTGAAATAGTGTTCTTTATAGTAATGCAAACATAAGCCAGAGTACTTTGGCATAACAACTTGTATTGTGGGAGGAGGGGGACTTGCAGTTGAAGTCCATGTTTGTTTAAGGCAGTGGCTCTTGGCTTTTCCAGATTATTTACCCCTTTCTGGAGTTTGATTATCTTGAATACCCCCAAGTTTCACCTCACTTAAACTACTTGCTTACAAAACAAAAATACAAAATTGTCACAGCACGCAGTTAGCAAAAAAAGCTTGTTTTCTCATTTTAGCCATATAATTATAACCTAAATCTCTTGGAATATAAATACTGGAGGGAGAAGTGCTTCCTGAGAGAGAATCCTGCCCATGAATAGTTTTATGTTTGGAACCTCTCCACACCAGCTGCCACAAAGATCTTGGTGAAAGATGTGCCTGTGCCTGGTGGCAAGGAGGTCTGAGATGAATGGTTTCTCCTTTGTTGTGGCCTTCGCACCTTTGAGAGATGACTTCATCCACCTGCTCTATCACTGAGATCTTATACTGGATTGTGTTGTGTACCACTTTGTCTGGTACCTTACCTTTGACCTTACTGCCATGGGTGACCATATCAGCAGTTCAGGACTCCCTACAGAGTCACTCTTAAGTACACACAAGCATCTCTACCACACCAAGATGTTTACCCAAGGAGAAGATCTATTTATGTAAATATGCTACTTATACTTCCATGTAAACAAGCCATTTTATGCCTTAAAATTTTAGTTTATATTGACTTGCTAGTGCTTTGTACGTAGCTTGTTGTAAAATGAGGCAAATATTTAGATGAGTTGATGTACACTCTGCATACTTTCAGGGGTGTATATATACCTCTGGCTGAGAGCCACTAATTTAAGGGGTCTGGGAAGGGAAGAGCATAGTTTGGTTACTTTAGAGCAGTGGTCCCCAACGTTGCATGGCTGCCGGGCACCCGGGGGCAGAGCCACTCACGTGCCAGGCACACGGGGGCGGGGCCACGCATGCGCTGCGCACACAGGGGCGGGGCCACCCATAAGCCATGCGCCCGGGGTCGGCACTGCGCATGTGCCGTGCGCCTGGGGCAGGGGCCGGCAACGCACCCCGGGCCGGCCCTGCACATGTGCCGCACGCCCAGGGGAGGGGCCGCCCACGCGTCCTCCCCGGGCCAGCCCTGCGCATGTGCCGCGCGCCCAGGGGAGGGGCCGCCCATGCGTCCCGCGCCTGGAGCCGGCACCATGCATATGCCGTGCGCCGGGGGTGGGGCCAGCCCAGATGTTTCAGCAGGTGCACAGAAATCCCCCGGCAGGCGCCATGGCGCCCGCGGGCACCGCGTTGGGGACCACTGCTTTAGAGAATCTAAGGGGTGACTGTCTTTTATGATACAGCATGTCTCGCAGTTATTTTCCATTTCCTGCCCCTATACACTTTTGGCTATAGCTGAATAGATAATTGAAGTGATCCTCAACAAGAGGTATGTGTACCCTGGGCCTGGGGATACATGCATCTTACAGAAGGTACAACTCATATAGATATTTGCCTAGTTTTACAACAGGCTACATGAAAAGCACTAGCATCTCCACATTTGGTCTTTCCACTTGGATTTAAGGGGTTTGCTAAAAGTAACAAAGTATGGTGTAAATGGCTTAAATAAAATCTTCATTTCAGGGCTTGATAATGTAACGGTCATACATATTGCAATAGCATGTGCATTAAATGTTTTTGAATAGTAGGTTTAATTTGATCATTGCTCTATCAAAAGGGATGAGGGGAGCTTTTGTTTTCTAACCAGAATTTCACACGGTATCTAATTTTTTAAATTTATTTTTTGGTATCCTTTATTTTTTTCAGTGGGATATTATGCATATTCGAGTTACCTTGGTGGACTAATATATTGCTGATAGTATAGAATTGTGAGAGTAGGATTGATTGAAAGTGTTTTTAAACAGTTTGATTACTCTTACCTTTCTGCAGGTTATAGATATCCAATGGAAACTGGGAATGGCAGTGAGCTCTGACAGCTGCAGATCTCTTAAGTACCCTTACATTACAATTACACTTAAAGTGGCACAGCCTTCAGGCCAGATAATGAGCAAGTGTCTTGAAATGACAATACCACAGTTCCAGGTTTGTAATCCAGTTTCATACAATATTTACTCCTCAAGAATACTATTTTCCTAATAGAAATCTAAGTGTTTACATGTAGGAAAGCACATTTCTGTGGCAATTATATATGTGGTATTTGAAAGATGAGGTTTCAGTTAATATTCCTACATATGGTTCACTTGAAAAATCCTTTTGTTTAGGCACCTCTAGCCAAACAATATTAATTTCATAAGAACTTTTGACTTAAGAATTCCAAGTTAAAACTCCGGTCATCTGAAGAAGTGGTCTGTGCCCGCGAAAGCTCATGATACCCATCTACATGTTTTGTTAGTCTCTAAAGTGCTACCAGACCATTAGTCTGTACAGGAAAAAAAGACCAACTCGGCTACCCACTATAGCAAGTTAAAATTGGTTTATCCTTCTCAAAACCATCCCATTTCAATAAGTAAAACTGTAACTAAAGACTACTAGATCTTTTAGCATGTTAACTCACTTGACTATCTGTCTGGCTTACTACCCAGATTGCCTCTCCTGCAATCGCTGAGTGTGACTACAATTCAAGAGGTCTGTGGGACTGCTCCATACTTAAACTGAAATTTGCAATAAACCCTAAGACAAACTTTAAAGGATTTTTTCCCCCTGATGGTTAGAAGCAATAGCAAGTGCTAGTAGTCAGGTAACGGGGAGTTCAAGTTTCTGTGAGATCATCTGAAATGGTCCGGGTCAAATGGGTAAGGCCCTAGGATGTGATATATTCTTAACTCTAGACACAGAGAGTTAGCTGCTATTTAATAAAGTTTTTAGTTTGGTGAGATAATCCCAAATTTAAACATGAATGACTTGTTCATGTTCCTCAAAGCAGAATCATCATTTAATTATATATAAAATGTAAACTGTGCAACTCTTCTGGTTTCAGCATAGTAAACACAGATCTACCAATCACTTGAATCTTCATAGCTGAACATACACTAGCTTTTGGAACCATTTCTGATTGTATAATTAAATAGCAGCTGCCAGTTAGGTCTCTTCTCCTTCTGTTCTCCCTGGCCTATGCAGTAAGTACAGAGAAGTGAAAATAGACTTCCATTTGGTTGATCTAGATGCAAGGGACTTCCTAATGCTGAACACAGAGACCTCTCAGAAGTGTGATAATGTAAGTAAGCTATATTCATAAAAGTGAAAGAATAGCACCTACCACTAGGAACAATGCTGTATGAAAAAAATTTCTTCACTTGGAGATAGGGGCATGTGTTAGTTTTTGCAACTAATGCTATGAATGGAAAAAAAACCAAGAGGAATGAGCAGAGAAAGGAAAGGTGCTTAAGCATGGATCAGCAACCTTTTCAAACCAGAGATCTAAACTACATCAAAATTCAGAACAAGTGGTCAACAAAGAGCTGTATAAGAATGCCCATTTGCATGACTGAAAATATATACAGTAAACTTCTGATAATCCGGCACCTTTAGGACCCAGGGGGTGCCGGATTATCAGATATGTCGGACTATTGGAAGGGGGGGCTGGGCTGGGGTAGGGGGATGAGTGGGGTGGGGCTCTGTGGGACCAACCCGGCAGCACCCCAGGTGCGCTTCTCCAAGTCCGCTGCTGCCGCTTAGAGACCCAGCTGGCCTGTCCCCGGCACCGCTGCGGG